CACACTAACATGGCAAGAAATGTTTCGCTGCACCAAAATATAAAGAAATTGTGTGACAGACAGCCGTCATAGAAACCACTTTGTTTATTTCTTCATGTTCTTTTGTTACATCGACGTGTTTAGTCACAAACGAGGACGTGGAGAGGAAGATTGATTAGTTTCATTATCAAACAGTAGTCGAACCATTTAGAAACCAATAAAAATGACATTTGTTTTATCACCTAATAGAACTTTACATTTCTAGTTTTACTCGATTAATATGAGGTAATAATAATAAGATAATAATCTCTTTCTGTCAGGACAATGCAGCCATGAAGGAGCAGCTGAAGCAGCTTTTGTGTGTGTCGCATCCCTCTGTGCTGCTGAGCTGCAGACCTGCTCAGGCCTCAGAGGTCAAGGTGAGCGACCGAGTCGCGTCTGATGTAAGGCTGCCAGACTCATAAGTACTTCCACCAGAGAGGGCGTTGGTTTTGGTGGTGTTTGTGTCATTTTGTCTGTAAACGTGACAGCCGGGGTGCAGAGCGGGTCGTGCGAACGCTCCAGACTCACACAAAACAATTTTATGATTTATTATTGGAAACTACGATTCCTACAAGTGTGGTGTTTGAACTCTGACCTCTCCTTTAGGGTCAAAGTGATAATTATGCTATTTAAAACTATATTTCTTAAAGCAGTTGTTATATTCAGAGCATATAGGCATGTATGAGCTTTCTAAATATGACCTGTGACCTTTTCAATCTGTCGTAAAATCTCTTTTATCTTTAGAAACTACTGCTTGTGTTTGTATTGGTAGGTTTAGAAAATGATACCAGTATATGGAGATTTGAAATATCACATTATAGTTTGCATCACAGCGTCACGTCTCACCTCTGATCTCATGTTTACATTTCACACCTGCCTTTCTTTCAAGCTGAACCAAAGTGTGTTAAAGAAAGAGAGCGAGCTGCCTGGTTAGGTTGAAATATGCTGTAGTTTAATGTTTTATATTTATGTCCAGTTATTTGCAAATCGATAGTTATTATTCATAACTTACTCATACATAATGTTTGTATGATCAATAAGCGTCATGCATGTTGCCATTATCTGACTTTTACTGCACTAAGAGCTCTGTAAAAGTTTAAAAAATAAATAACAAAGAAGTATGAAGATATACAAAATACATTATGATTCCTTTAAAAGTAATGCTGCCCACAGGGCCAGTTCCTTGACTGTGGTTTGCGCTCTTACTGCTTCTTGTTGCAACCTTAAATAATGCTCATCTAAAGCAGCATTGATTCACTGAAGGTTATTATGTTCACATGCATTAAAAAGGTCATTATTCACAACCCACCATCACATGATGCTGTTTCATGTGTTTCTGATTAGATCTTACAGGATGCCATCAGGATGAGGAAGTTTTCTTTTTTTGGTCCAAATATAGTTGTGAGTTACATGAGAGGCAGTGGGATTAACTCTTATTTTCTTTCCTCTGATCAAAAAAGTCGATATTATTGACATTTATATATCTGGTCATCGGACCCCAAAGTTCTCCTAATTTCCAGATGATTTGAATTTTGTGGTTCACGAAAATAGTCGCTCTATGGTGCAACATTTAAAATGTTCAAGATCAATTAGCCGGCAGTTTTAGCCGTAATATAAAACAACCATATAGATTTGCATGCTGGTTAAAATAAATCTCTAGTGCTTTGAAGCTATTTAAGCATTAAGCTCATCAGATACGCTGCTATTTAAATGACCAAAAAAAAATAACCTTTGTCTGTAGATGATGCCTGTTTGTAATGCAAATTCATCAGAGGTGCTTCTGATGCAAATTCTCCCTGATCATAGAAAGGCCAACGCAAATGGTCAACTTGTGAAAGTGGAAACGGTCGTGTTGCAGAGAGTCCT